ATATTTGCACCTAGTTACATTGCGGACTTGAGTGTTCCATATGGCAATTTTTTAAGGAGAGAGAGAGAGAGAGAGAGAGAGAGAGAGAGAGAGAGAGAGAGAGAGAGCGAGAGAGCGAGAGAGAGAGAGAGAGAGAGATTTTGTTCCTGACCTCGAAAAGCTCCCGTCACAAACAAAAAACAAAATCCCAGCACCTTTAGTAGAGAACTCGTTTGCACCGGCTTTTAGAGATAAAATAAGATAGAAAGGAAACGTTTTATCTACGGACAAAGGGATGAAGCTTGCAGTTCCGTTTGAACGTGAGTACCGTGATTTCCGAGCCATCCATCGAAAGAATCACTTTTCTAGTCTCATCTTTTTAGTGAATTCCAGAACAGCACAATAAAAGCAATTTGGTTTTAAATCACATATCTTAATTTCCTCCTATTTACAGCTTAGACGCAACATAATTATTTTTACCATACGCTTCTTTTGATTATAGACCTTAGTAGCACAATGAATTTTTTTTATAAATTGCAAAACAACCAAACCCCAAAACCCAACAACAACAAACAACGACTAAAAACAAACGCGGTACGTGCTCCAAGTAAGTATTAATTTCTACTTTCGACAAACTATAGTTACTGAAATTGTGGAGATTGCTGTATCTCAAAAGAGGCGAGAATCCCCAAATGCATGTCTGCCAGTCTTTATAATATTATATTATATATCGTAACCAGCCAAAAGAAACTTGACCAAAACAGATGAAAGCAATAAACATACACCTCTGCACAATATATAAACAGAAAATCGCCCACAACGTACCTTAATGTAACGTGCTGTTTCATGAAAATTAGTCAGCCTGCAGCCTTACAGGTTGTTAAAACGGCATCAAAATAATGTTATTACTAACTTATTACACGTATTTCAAATGTAGCTTGCCCTAATGCGTTTAGTTATCACGTTAGGTTTTGCCTGTATCGAAAGCTGGTTCAGTTTTAGTCAAATTTTACCGCACTTGCAACACGAAAAGGTTACATAAGGGCCGACGATTAGAGGTGTTACAAGATAAGAGAGCAATCAACACAAGAAAGAAGGAGAAATGAGGACGATGGCTGTTTGATTGGAAAGAAGGAGCAAATTACCTCAGAAAACTCACCAACCGCATTAGAATGTAGTGTCTACATAGTCCGTTATCGCACTTTCGTGTGGGTTCAGTTTACACTGTCAAGGATAGAAAACGCATATTATTTCTATATGCAGTACAGGTAGTAGGCCTACAAGTATTGTCCTGACAAAAATTATGATTTTCTGCCCCAAGCACCCTCATGTTCATAGCAAATCTCATTTCCTTCCATTTTCCCTTTTTTCCATTCCATTTTAAGAAAAGAGATACTCCTTTCAAAAGTAGCAGGTTTGCTTACGGCAAAGATAAAGGGAAGCACCAAATTAAAGACTGGTAAAAGACCGTGTTAATAAAACTTGATTGTTAATATCAGATCTACCCACGTGCTTCTTGTAATGTAAGTCAGTCTACCAGAAGACAATCCGAATTCGAAGTAGGCCTATTATAGAATTTATTCGGGTAAATTGATACAAGTCCCCAAACGACGTCAATGCAATTCATATTTTGTGTGGTGTAGCAGTATAGCTGTACGGAGGGATTTGAACTATTTTTATAAGTTTAACTTTGCTGTGTAAAACACTGCCAATCTCTATACTGAAGAACGTGGAAAAGCGATTACAATGTAAATTTTCTCATGCGGATTTCAAAGCCATTACCCAGAAACCAAACAAAGCTCAAAGACATCATTCTGATAGTGAACTGATAGTATAATAATTATGCTGTTCTGTAAAGTGGGCGATAAAAATGGCAAAGCAAGAAAGTTCTCAACCCAGCACAGCAACAACAACAACAACAACAACAGCAACAACAACAACAACAACAACAACAACATCATCATCAACAAAACAAGCCAACCACCCCCTCCCTTAAAAAACACAAAAACAACTACAACGAAAACAATAGAGCACGATATCCAGCTTTTCCCACTGAACCATAACTAACTTCGGCCGTTGTTGGTTGTATTCTGCGTAAAAAAACCCCGTGCTATCACGGTCTCTCCTCTCTCTCTCTCTCTCTCTCTCTCTCTCTCTCTCTCTCTCTCTCTCTCTCTCTCTCTCTCTGTTTGTGTGTGTGTGTGCGTGTGTGTGTGTGTGTGTGTGTGTGTGTGTGTGTGTGTGTGTGTGTGTGTGTGTGTGTGTGTGCGCGTGCGCGCGTGCACCTTCAAAACTTTCAAGGCTTCATAGTTCTTGGGCTCTAATTTTGCTCTTGACAGAGAGCAAGACCATTTTTTGGGGGGGTCTGGTAATTCCCTGAAAACTTACAATTGCAAAGGAAACTGAAATATGTTTGTAGGATTTTCAGAAAGGGAGAAAGCAATTTTCAAAGCAGTAGGTGCTACATTAATTAGTCCACCCTTTTAGAAGCCAAGATAGGAGTAAACATAGGTCTACTCATTTGGCGTAAGGCAGTATTATGTGTCACCGCACCACGTCCACTGAAAATATCAAAAGTTTTGCAGTACACCTTTCGTTTTCACAAAGTCGCCTGTCAGAGTGATACAGTAGCAATAATTATTAGAAAGATAGAATCAGATGCCCATGTACATTTGTTTTCACGAATCATCTTTTCGGTCAAGCGTTTTCTCCCAATACGTCCACACAGTATTCCTATTGATCCCTCTCTTTCGCTGGATGGGAGGCAAACAAAAGTGCAGTCTCGATTTTATGTATTATCAATATTTCTTTTACTTGGGGTTTCCCTTGTCGGGTGAGATGCCATTTATTGACTTGTTGGTCGGGAAACGAATTGCCGCCTGGCTGTTAATTGTCATATATGAGAAATGGCTTGCAGTTTGTTGGCTGGTTGCCTGGTGAAATATTGTTCGGTTGATGAGCTTATTACTTTAGCTGACTGGCCGAATACTAAATGTTGCTTAAATGTTTCGATATTGAGCTACATTAGTTGATTGATCTGATCCAACTTATGGTTAGCTAGACTGAATGTTAGTGCGTTGGTTGTCTGGAACCAAGTCATGAGGTCCTGGTTTCCAATACGAATTCTTGGCTCCTGATTTGTTTGGAACTATTGCTTTTACCTGTTACTGAAAGTGGAGTTCTGTTACTGGAGTATATTCAGTCTAGAACACGAATTTAAACGTATGTCTAATGTCTCATTGTTTTCATTTAGGCTAAAATTAACTGATATTAGCACCGCGATTTTTATAAGTAGAGTCTCAGGGTTTGCTGTTCATGTGGGCTCAAACGCCAAACCAATGAATTCACTGATTTCGTGTTCAGCTCGCTTGGCAGTTATTTAAGGAGCACGGCTATTTGTTCACTGATTGCAAACAGGGGATAATACGAAGCTTATGTTATCATGTTGAAATGATGATTGGAGCTAAGTCAATTTGATCATTTTTGTGTCTTTTGAAAGTCGTTAATGGATAGACCCTTGAACTGATTAGTGTGAGGATGGAATGATGATCTGTTTCGATGGATGGGAAGCCGGTAATTCACGTTGGCTAGTTGGGTGGCTTACCATTTTTTGACTTGTTGATTACTGTGCGTAGCTATTTGTTTAAGCCTTTTGAAAGTTCTTTTGTTTGCAGATGTACTTTTCCCGAATCGTTCTTGTTTAATGACAATGGTGGGTTATGATAAAATGTCGTGAACATTTTGTCGTTTTTACATCAAGTAGATTTTTAAAGAATTTCTCTCTTGGACATCTCCGCCCCGCCCCCACCCCCTAGTCCCAACTGACAACATTAATACATTGACGAGAAGCATTCCGTTGTCTAGTGTTTAGTTGGTTTGTAACCTACTCAGATGATAGCCGTGTGTTCCGAAACACTTTACAGATGATCAGCAGATGTGATAAAACCAAGCTGTGATACAAGTCTAGGACCACCATTGAGAAAAACAAAAGCATTTAAAAGAAGTCCCTGGTTCCACTAGAGAAAATAAAGCTTCTGTACTCTCTCAATTGTTTTTTCTTGTTCTTATGCTAGACAGAGATGACTGAAAATATAAGAGCGCTGACTCCAAACAGTAAGTCTATTCCTAGAAACAGGCAGTCATACACACAAACGTGCATATACATAATCCCTCACCTCACCCCATACCCCCCCCCATTCACGGTTTACATAACCGTATATTGACAGACAAACGCCAGCACACACCACAAATCAACTGTTTGCGGGATTGCCATGAGCTGCAATCTCTTGTTATAATATTATTGATCTTCCTCTAACTTGCTGCGAGTGGCTTTAAATAAAAAGAAACAATCACAGAGACTGACTTACGGACAAATTGTCTTAGGAAAAGACGTCGTCACCACATCTATGCTGGCAATCTGTTTTTTTCTAAGTACACCGGAGCTGTGTGTATAAATCATGCGGCCAAACAGATGAAAAATCTCGAATTAACAGAACACCAGATCACAACAAATGTGTAGGCTCCACCTCACGAAACTCACTGCTTCAGGATTTTCTAAAAGATATATTTTGATGTCTAATCTATCACTACATGGTATAATAATGCTTTCTTATTATGAAAATGAGGGCCAAATAATATAATTACTACGGGGAATTGTATTGGTCTTTATTTAAATAACAAAAAAAAAAAAGAAAAAAGAAAAGGAGTTGAATCTTTTAAACAATATTTCGGTGAACGGGCGACAATCATCTGCCACTGGTTGGGTATAACTGTTTAATATAAATGACAGTTAAGTAGAACTACGTATTTACGAGTTTGAAATGTCGCCAACACATCAATCGACACAAGCAGGCTCAGTTCTTTTTCATTAAAATACGTAGAATATTTTCTCCTGAAGTATGAAGTCAATAAATCACTTAATCCGCCATGCTGTCACTGCATGAGCACAACAACAGGTGCAGGGAGTAGTGTGCAGGCCCCCCCACTGTAGGCTCTGTTCCGTGGCAACGGACTCTGTTTACCTGGGCCTCCATCACCCGAGACTAGCTGCCAGCCGCTGGCTCCGCGCTCCGCTGCTTCTGTCACACGGGGTGGGCGGGGTGGCGCGAGGGACGGGAGGGTGTGGGCTGGCATGATAGGATCAGGCGGGGAACCTTACTAGGGGGAAGGGATGAGAAGAGGGAGGGTGGCATGGCGAGATGTGATAATATTATTATCATGGTGAGGGAGGCGAGGGAAGAAAAAAAGGGCGGGGGGATTGGGGGGAGTGGGAGTTAGCGGGAAATAAAATGGCACTCTCAGGGACTTCCGGTTTCACCATCTCTTAATTTTCTTTTTATTCCCTCTTTCACGCTCACTCTCTCTCTCTCTCTCTCTCTCTCTCTCTCTCTCTCTCTCTCTCTCTCTCTCTGGCTGTCTGGCTGTCTGTCACACACACACACACACACACACACACACACACACACACACACACACACACACACACACACACACACGTACACACACACACACACACACACAAACACACACTCACACTCAAACTCATGTTCTCCATTTTTCTTGCTCACTGCAGCTATTTCTCTTTCTTTCCCTCTCCTGTATCGGATCTTTCCCCCTCCTCTCTCTCCTTTTCTCTCTTTCTCTTTCACTCTTGGCTCTTGCCCTGTAAATGCATGTATATATTGTTTGTTCGTTTGTTTGTTTGTTTGTGTGTGTGTCTGTGTGTGTGTGTGGTCTTTTTATATCTAACGACATCCTTGAATATACTATTCCAAAAACAGTCCATACTCAAGTCATACTTCCGTCTTTGTAATTGAGTTTCTAGGGAAAACTTCATCGTTCCCCTGTGCCTCCAACAAGTGTGTGTGCCGACTCTTGCAATGAATCATTCTTAACTTGAACCACAAAAGCATATTAAAAATATGTACCTGAAGCTGATTTTCTCTCCTTTCAGCCAGGGTGATGCTGTAGACAAAACACCCACTTTGTAAAACGGAGGTCATGAGTTCGATACATGCAACAAATTATTTTTTAGAAAGTTCTCATTTTTTTCAGACATTCACTCAGTTCTATCTCAGAGGGACGTTGAAAGACGTTTTCTCGGTAAATAAAACTTCAATACCACTAACTACTCAGTACTAGCGCCCGCAATGTTGAGATTTGATTAATCATTTATTTCGAAGGCGTGAGTGTGCTATAATTAAATGCATCATGGTAACCAGGGGTGTTCTCGTGTTGTGCAATTTTGAAGAAACAAATCTTCATTGATGTTTCGAAGGATAGATAACATCACTGTTCGTGCTTTTCGAATACCGTGCACGCATGTTTTTTCCCCCCTTATATTATACATTGTATTATTAGAGACCTACCAGTAGCATTTGCCATTCATTGTTCATTTTTTTTGTTATGTTGGCTTTACATATTATTCACTCTTTATATTATCGTAATAATCAAGTACAATTTATTGCTGTATTCACCTCCATGATTTCAGGTGTAACATGCTTTAACTTTGCAACGTGTGGAGGAAAATGAGACGAAACATATGTCCGTAACAATCACCTATCACACGACATCCGAATGGCTTTGCCATGTTTCAAATATCCGTGAATAGCGACCCCCCCCCAAAAAAAAAAAAAAAATATATATAAAAAAAATTAATTAAAAAAAAAAAAAAAAAAATTATTACTCCTCCTCCCCCCCAACCAGTAGAATGGTTGAGTTGTAGAGTCGAATGGGCGTAGCTTAAGGGTGCGCACAAGCGATAGTGGGCAGTTGGCGGGTGCTCTGGTGTGGTTTGCTCCTTCTTTCCTCTATCAAACATCTATCATCCATATCTCTCCTCCTTCTTATTGTGTTTATTACTCTCTTGTAACACCTCTAATCAGCGGCATTTATCTGGCTGACCTTATTGTGTTGCGAGTACCATAAAACTTTTCCTAAATTATTAAAGCACAGGCGATGACTCTGGAATTCTTGCTGGATCGGAATTGCAGAATACTTGCGAAAAATGTATGGGTTACTCCCCGCCGTAGATGCCAGTTCGGCTGAACGTGTCCAGATGAGCAATGATCAGACTTTTAAATGAGAGGGAAAAAAGATACAGCTCTCCAGACAATGTTAGTTTGTGAAACGATCTCCAGTAAGAAAGTCCATGTCAGTTCTACTGAACATTTCTAGATGGCCAATGATCAAACTTTTGTCTGAGTCAACGCTTCTGAGAAAAACAAGAAGAAGAAAAAAGACACAACTCTTAATACAAGGTTAGTTTGTGAAACGATCTCCAGTAAAAACTTCCACGTCAATTTGTGTAGTATAATTATGAGGGAACAGCAGCAGCTGTTTTGTGGACTGCATCGAGTAGAAAGTGAAAGATCTTGTCAGTTTGTTCATCTTTTGGCTCATGCAATGATCCGCAGCTCGCACTGCATGCTTCACGGAAAGCCGAGAATGTTTCTGTAAAGCTTACAGAGCAGGCTGTAGAGCGTGGAGGTGCGCTATGTATTTGAGGGCAAGCCCGGCCGGGAAAGACCCAGAACAACATACTAAGGGAACCTTAACAAATGGGTAACAGGGAAAGATCAGGGAAACGTAGCTTTTTTGAGAGCATCCGAGCTAAAGAATGAATGGAGAACCATGATCGCCGATGTCTGTCGCAGATCTGGCACTGGATGATGATGATGGTATCATTAATATATATTACAAGACATCTCTCCCGCCTACAGCCGGGTACCCATTCTCACTTATTATTTTTAGTACAGGTTTTACGACGTTCACAACTGCATAAGGTCATATGAGCACCAGAAGATTAGAGATATTACAAGAGAGTAACACACATAAAAAAGAAGAAGGGCAGATATGGACTATAGATGTTTGACAGGAAGGAAGAAGCAAACCACACCACAGCACCCGCGAACCCCCCACTTTCTCACTTTGATGAAGTGAGGAAAATTCATACAACATACCTTTACTAAGGAAATAATTTCGGCCCCATGGCAGGCTTCAAACCCATGACCATACAGCCACAAAGCACTTAAACAGTATTTCTATTCTTGCTAACTACTCCAAATCAGTCTTGAATTCTTTACTCCAAATACATCTAGGATATATAGAGATCTAGATCTA